ACCAGATACATATGCGATTCACAAATTTCATTTGATTTGTGTGAAGGCTATGATACAACCCGGGTGCTCAAACTGAAGAAGGTGGATTTCTTAGGGGACCACACACGGAGCTTTTGACCTAAAGATCTGGTCCACAAGGCAGTGGAACATCGTAAGGAGATGCAGTCCCATAGCAGCCATTGCAGTGACCAACGATTGATTCATACGCCATTTGTTCCCTCAGGATACTGGAGCACATGTACACCATTGGTTTGGAATCAGAAATTTTCAACTCCTCTTGGTGGACTTTCCGTGTCCACCAACCCAATTAAAACGTCCGACATTCGCTTTTCATCCTCTCAATTTCGTAAACAACAATAATGCCACGAGAAGGCAGTGTGTAGGACTTCCTTGTCAGAGGCTTTATACGAGTGGCCATGTGAGAGCATTTTGAGAGGGAGAGCAGACTCTTCCCACTCCCGGCTGTACGAGAGCATTTGGGGGCCGAAAGAGAGTGATCAATCATAGTCTTTAGCATCAGCAACGAGAGAATGTTAATTCTTTTAAGTAAAACCGAGTTATTATAAATTCATTTAGTATTGTTTGTTTGAATCTTCCCATCGATGTGTCAGTCTCTAATGGACATCGCACAAGCAAGTGGCTATAAGGACTCAGTAGTTCAGTAGATAACGTGATGGCGTTTGAAGCGAAAGGTATTGAGTTCGAGTCCCAAGGTGAATATCAACTCCGAAATGCAGGTACATTCAGCTGACGAGTCCTAAAGAGGACGAAACGCGCTTCCTGGATTCCACTGCAAGCCACTATCCATCTCTCCTTACAAGTTATTATAGTTTTATTCTATATACTCTCAAAAATGAACATTGTACAAAGCCAGTAATATTACAGTTCAATGTGAATAGTTTCAATTTTGTATTATAATTACCAACTGTAAAACCAACTACAACCAATTCTTTCAAGATAATTGACAGATTATTCAATCTCAAGAATAAAAGAAATTCCTGATATGAAAAATTTCTACGGATATAATATAAACACAGAAAATGTTACCATTATCAATTATGGATTACATTTTCGAAACATTAACATTTTGTATTATAGTTCGTGTAGAAAACCATTAAATAAGTGAAATTTTGGAAAAAACATAAGTTAATCGGTATGTTTTATGTATATTTTGAATGAATTTTAGTCTTGATCTAAATCTATGGATCAAATTTATGAGTATCGACTGCTAGTTTAAGTGATTCATTACTAAATATACTACACTGGAACGTCAGGTGAAATCCTATCAGACTTAGGGTTTGTTCCATTTGATACTCCTGAGTATGGTATATCTTTAGTCTTCATAAAATAAGGATAGTAGGTTGATGAACCTGTGTTAATCCTGAAGGATTACCTTGCCGTAAAGGTCCAGCTTCTCCTTGAAAATGTTCACTAATCGGGCTGGTATAACTTGTTCGGGTAATTTGTGCCAGTCATTGACCACTCAATTAGAAAAACAGGATCCCACCTTTAGTTTATTAGATCACGGTTTGTAAATCTTCTTGCTATGACCTCGGAGATTATCAGTGCTAGAGGAAGCAAAAAGATAAGACATATTAACACCCAAATCATAATTAAAGATACGAAATGCCAGTATATGGTCACCTCACCTCCTACGATAAGACAAGGGGAAAAGGTTTAGATGTTTCAAACACTCATCGTAAGGAAGTTTAGAAAGGCCCTTCATTAATTTTGTTCCCACACACTGGACACACTCAATTGAGTTAGTATCCTTTATCAGACATGGGTTAGCTTCTTGAATCTTTATTAAACTGATTCTCCTTGGCTGGTTCTACTCCGCTTCTCTTAGCTTGACTGTTACAGTTGCTACTATTGAGTTATACAAGCCAAAAATTGACCTACTGTATAAGATTGATTGTAATGAAAATCTTTTGTCCACTAATTAGAAATATCGTCCACTTTTCTTCATTCATATTTTGAATTATTCATCGTTTTTCTTTTTTTTTTCTTTTCTTTACTTTTTGTAACAGATTTTGGATGACACTGTTAAAATTCTACTTTTCTTTTTTTGGAAAGTAATATTAGTTAGACAGGTATGACATTCTTCATAGAAATAGAAAGGTTAATTTTGATATTCTAATTTATAAAATATAAAGAAATGTAAATAGTTTTTTTTTTAAAAATTGTTTCCATATGTATATCCCTTTATCCAATCGAATGTTTGTATGTTGTTGGTGGTGGTGATGGTGATGGTGATGGCAGTGGTGGCGGTGGTGTTATTTTTTTTGGGGGGGGGTATTGTATGAAAAATGGGTTTTCAATGTTTCAATATAGTATTTTTGTTTTATTGAATCAATCACATATATAAATATACATGTTTATATTTACTATTTTAGAAGAAAAAAACACCATTTTTTGTAGTTGGTTAAACTATTTGCTTCTAGTTTCTATTCCAAGATTGTCTTAATTTGAGATTTGTATTGTTTCTGGCTGTTGTTGATCGCTATTGTTGTATGCGCTTATTAAGTTGTTGATTGACTATTTCTTTTGTTTTTTTCTTTTTCAGAGTTTCTCATTCATGTTATTCTGCATACTCCTTTGGTACACAAAGTACCTTTTGGTTAGATGTGAATTTATACCTGTAAATTGAAAAAAATAACAATGATCCATTTGGCATATATGATATTCATCCAATTAGGTTTAGTGTTAAGATGAACGATTAAGATTACGGTTAAAGTTTTAATTTACTTTCAAGGTTACGGTAAGGGTTAAGATAAAAGTTCATCAACAGGTTATGTACTATCTAAATAGAAATAAGTAAACTTATATTAAGTTTAAAATGACTATTTTTACAAATTAATTACACAGTAACACCGTTGAATGCCGGCCAGCTCAGTGGTCTAATGGTCAAGCGCTCGCGCATGAGACGGATAGGTCCTGGGTTGGAATCTCGTAAGGCGGGATCATGGATGCGCACTACTGAGGAGTCCCACAATAGGGCGAAAAGGTCGTCCAATGCTTCCAGGTTTTCCATGGTGGTCTAGCTTCAAATGTCGTATGAATTCCGGATACATACATTAAAATATATATATATAATGTTGTTATTTTCTAAGGAATCTGCAATTACTTATTTTTACTATTGATAAAACAACTTACCTTTGATAAACTTTTAAAGTAGTTAAAGTATTAAGAGGTTGTTAGTATATAAAAAATGATTTTCGGATACGTTTTATGCAGGAAATAACAAAACGAAATATATAATTCGATTTTGGATAGCAGCAGAATCCAGGCTTCATCCTATTTAGTATTCGTCAGTTTGATATATTTACATTGTGGTTTGACAGGCACATCTGATCTCGGATCCAGCACCTTTCACTTTAAATGGTAACACGTCATCTACTTAACTTCTGAGTTAAGATAGTCATTTACCTGTTTAACGCATAGGATATTTATGTGATTTTCACTGTAGACATAAGTTATCCGATACTTGATATTTAAAGACTGAATTTCGATCAGTCTTGCTCTCGAAACCATACTACTAATAAAAAAATAATACAGACTAAAAAATCTTTAGGAAAGTATGGTTTAATAAATTGTTAGTAAATTATGATTCTTGTCAGTATGATATTTTTTAATGATAGACCGCATATTTATTACTGCCTTCATGTCAGGGAACAAAACACTGATCAAGATGCAATCTTCTTAATATCATGTGTTATTGTTCTAAATGTAGTTCGGTTCCAGTACCTATCGCATTAAATGTAAGCACCTTATCGATAAGCTGCTGAATCCAGTTAACCACTAGCTTATTCTCCATTTTGAACGAAACGGGAATCCTAAAGTCTACCACAAGCCATGTTCAAAAAATATAATGCCTTCTCTGTAGTTTTTCAGGGAATTAATATGACCTAACAATATACAACATATTCTATTGTTACCATCTGCATTACATCATCACCCCTATTGATTGTTCGTATTTCCTCATGGAATTAATAGTTTAAAAAATTCATATAAATACATACAATTGTAGAACTTGATAACAAATTCAGTGAAAGGAGATTCCGTTACTGAACTTTGTTTTTTTAATGCCTAAATAAGAATTAAATGTTGATTTTCGTGAAATCCTCGAAGTATTGATGATATGGTAGATACAGTTAGGGAATGTTGATGTAAGATAAGAGCTTCATACAAATCATAAAACTTTAATTATTGCTGAGAAATTTGTTTTGACTAATGAAAATTTTAATAGTTGGATTTATGAATCAACTCGTTAATTCAACTATTAAAATTACTATAATCTCCACAAAATCCATTATGATCGTAATCATGTAACTGGCTTCAAAATGATTTCTTCGAGTTCTAGTGAGAAGACATGGCCAGTGAAGTTCAATCCATGTTGGGTAGAGACAGGTGCAACCATTCATGGATCGATCGAAGTTAGACATTAAAACCGTTCAATGCCACATCAGTGGTCTAAAGGTTAAGCGTTCGTGCACGAGACCGAATTCCCTGGGTTCGAGTCCCTTTGGTATGGGATCGTGGATATTTACCGATGAGGAGTTTCATACTAGAGCGAAACGGTCATCTACTGATGATCTAGCTTACATTGACTCATGAATTCAACTATTAAACTTACTATAATCTTCACAAAACATATTCTGATCACAATAGAAAAATTCTATCAAAACTTTAGAACTATTTTTTAAAAAATAACTCATTTCATAGTTCTCATATATTATTACTATTATCTTTTTTTTGTTAATGAAACTCTTTTCCACCCACCGCCAAAAAAAATTTTCAAACAAACAATAATAAACCAATCAGAATGCAAATTTGTATATTCGTTAATATTCTTTTCAAACAGATGATAGTGATCATTTCTATTAACCAATCATATTTCATGGGTCAAGGTTATATACCGTGAAAATTTAACGAATCATTGATAAATATTAAGGGGAAAATTGATTGGGAAAAAAATGTTAGTATTGAGTTGACTTATACCTTATTATATATAAAGTACATTTGAGTAGTTACCGTTATAAAATAAATTTTTAAAAAAAGATTATTTATCATTATGATTTTTAATTCTGTTCGGTTTTATTTATTCAAATTGAACCATTTCAATTCATGTTAACCATTGGAACATTTAAACAAAACAAATGAATTACTTTAAAGACAAATATATTTAAGCCTGTACATACATACATACATACATACATACATACATACATACATATATACACGAACACATACACTTAGAGACTAACAACAAGTATATTGTAAAAATTTACCCAAAAATTGAAAAAAAATTAACTTAAATATGAAAGATTATAAAAGTGATTATAAATTATCAAATAATTTATCTTATTCGACATCGTCATCGTCATCTACGACGACGACAACAATGACGACATCGACAACGATGGCGACGACGACAACAACAACATCCTCCTCCTCCTCCTCCTCATTATTATTAAGTTATTATTCCAACAATACTAAACCATTAGATTATACATTGAAGAATCATTTTAATACTTATAATACCACTTATAATACTACTAATAATACTACTACTAATGATACTACTTATTATCATACTACTGAATATAAATTTAAAACAAAATTAGAATCATTTACAAAAATGTATCAAATAAAAGATAATATAAATTATGAATTTAATATAAAATTACCAAAATTAATTACAAATTCTTATTATAATAATAAACAAACAAAAAATTTTTTTAATTTAAAACAAAATAAATTTTATAAAAAACGGAAAACATTAAATTACATAAATGATACAATTTATAAGCCTATATATAATAATGAAGAGAATATAATGCAAAAAAGAAATAATAAATTATCATTTTATCATTCACCTATTATTACTACTACTACTACTAGTTATACTACTGATAATACTACTTATAATAATAATAATAATATAAGTAGTACATTTTATAAACGTTCTGATTATGGACGATTTAAACGTAATAAAGATAATGGACCTTCATTATCGGATGTTCCAATGAATGTTAATTTTAATACATTAAATAATTCATGTACTACAAATCGTTATCATATATTAAATTTTGAACAAGTACAATATTTAGATGATATAATGAATACATATATAAGTATTTCACCAAATCCTATATTACAAAATTTTTTAGATACAAGTACCCTTATATCACCATTATTACCAACAACAACAACAACAACAACAACAACAACAACATCAACAACAACAATAACATCGACATCATCATCAACAGTAATCAATAAACCATGTTCATGTTTCTCTTCGATGAATTTGACTAATTTTAATAATACTGGAAATAGTGATCATATTGATACAGTATACTCTTCATCTATTTCAAGTACAGTACCAATATCAAAGGTAAATAATTTAGTAACATTCATTCCGGATAGCTTTTCTAATAGTACAATTATTGATAATACTATAAATAATCCATATCAACATTTAATAAATGATTGTTGCTTACCTACCCATCATATTCCATTTATATCACAACAATCACAAAAATTACCAACTATTCGTATACAATTAAAGAAACTTATTAGAATAATACGTGATGGATTATTAAAAGAATCAATACCAGTTAAAGAGATACGTTTAAATGGTGATGTTGCAAGTTCTATCATTATTGGTAAGTTTTAAACAAACATTTATGTGTCTTTTGTTTTTAAGAGTTGTTGTCTTAATGTCTATCTTGTTAACATGAAAATTTTCTTTTATAAAAATGCGAATAATTATTTATGGATTACTACTCATGAAATGAAAAGCTGTGGTTTATCATTGAAATTAAAAACCGGTCGAGTTTAGACAAACATGAAATCACAGGTCAACCATTTCGTCTTAATGTGGAGTTACTGCAATAGTATAATTCTACGATTCCATAAACGTTAATTAAAACCAGAAAATTTGTTCTCGAGCGCGAACGCCTAACCTTTAGACCACCGAGTTTTTATGCGATGGTGTTAATGTCTAACTTCAATTAATTTACAATCTCCATAACTTCCTGATGACAATTTTCATGTGCTCGCTATTGTCTGGCTTCAAGAGAAAATTCCAGAAGTCCCAGTGGGAAGCTGTGATCGGTGGATCTAAACAGTATTGTGTATGAGGCAATTATCTACTGAAGACAATAGAAGATGGTTGGTTAATATTGTGCATTGATTGGAGTTATGCTTGTAAACCATTGGATCCTTTATCAGTGTTCATGAGATTAAGCGTTCGCAGGAGAGACCGGACCTCCTAGGTTCGACTCCTATTTGCACGGTCGTAGGTGAGCACTACCTAACTATTTCACATTAAGGTGAAGTGACCACCCTGTGCTTCCAGGTCTTTAACGGCCATTGCTCTTGGATCAACTTGTGATCGCAATAATATTTAACAATCTGAGCAATTCCATAATGGTAACTGGGTTTCAATATAATAATATCTTTCGCTCAATTACAAATGAACAAATTTTCATACTTCTCATTTTTTCAGTTCTAAAACTTCTGGTCTGATAATATCAACAATTTCAAAAATGATGAGATCGGTTGTTATTGTTTTAAGATTTATATAATATCAAAAGGGAGGTTTGTGGAGATTTTAGTAATTTTATATAGTTGAACTGATGAGTCAATTGAAGCAAGACCACTGATAGGTCCTGGTTTTGAATCTCGCGAGGCAGGATGGCGGATGCGCACTACTGAGTAGTTCCACAATAAGGCAAAACGGCCGTCCAATGCTTTCAGGTATTCCATGGTAGTCTAACTTCAATTGACTCATGATTTCAACTATATAAAATTACTAAAATCTTCACAAAACCCCATTCTGTTAATGATCATATGCTCACTTGTGACTGGCTTCAAGAGGTATTTCCTGGAGTTCTAAATGAGAAGCAGTGACCAGTGGATATAAACCTGGTCTGTTGTGAGATAGTAACTCACTGAAGACATTAGTGAATGGTTGCTCAATTTCGTGGATGTGTATAATAACTAATAATTTATGCTGTAATTATTTTTAATAACAATGACCTCTAGTAATCACGCTATCTCTAATTTAGATCCAAAATTTTTGAACTTAGACACAGCCACAGATAGCTTGTTTTTCAGCATGCTATATTTTCAAACATATTTTGGTGAATAAAAACTACTCAGCTCTATATAATAAGGATATAATTCGATTATACTTAAACCAATCACTATATATATATATAATCTAGTCCTGAACAAACTGAAATAATCGTCTGAGATTTTATTGATAAACACATCACGAAATATAAAGAATTTGTTTAAACATACAAATAGGGTCATCCGTTTACTGAGTTTAGTAACCGGTAGAGATTTAGTAAATGTGGTTGTAAATATAAACTGACAGCAGTAGAATACAAACCTAATTGATACAACTGAGCCAGATCTAGTGAATTCTAAACAAAAAACAATATTTATATTATGTACCTGTTGAAATTTTAATCCAATGGAACAGTACAATGTAGGTTCATGCACTCGAGTACTGAACCGAAACAGTGATCAACAGATCCTGAACACAATGTGACATTCATTCTATACTGTTTTATAACTGATCTATTGAGTTAAATTTATAGGTAAATTACTGGTTCAACTATTGTTAGCATTATTTTAAGACAAAATGTTTTTCCTCAGTTTAAATTCCAGACAAGCGGTAACTAGATTACCATTGAAAGTCTAGAGGTGCTGAACAGATATCTAATTGTAGTATAGGGTTACTTAGTGACAGTGAGCCACCATAACCCTGGACTCGGAAATTGAACACCATATCTTCAGTCTTCCGTTCGAATGCTTGATTACAAGGCCACCAGCCCGGAAATTAATCCTGGATATATCTAAATGCAGTCACTTAATGATTTATTCGATTAAAATTCTACGATGTTTAACGGAGATTGTTTATTTGTAGAATACGTTGTCGAATGATTTTAGTCAAACAATATGCGAGAACCAATGAGCACTAAATAATGGTCACATCATAGTATAGAACCAAACAATGAACACCCTCGACAGTAAGAGATAGCAAACCTTAAACTTTTGTTAAGTATAAACTATCAGATGCTTACTCTCGTCGAAAATCTTTGATATGATTCATTGTGAGGTCAAGGATATACACTACAAGGTGTTTTGTACCAGGATTAAATAGTTGTGTAGTTTCTTTCGTGCTTCAGACGTCTTGCAAAATTAATTAATTTCCTTCTAATCTTAAACAGAGTTCTACTTACTATAGAAACAACTAAGTATCCTAATAATGAGAACGCTTTTAGTTGAAAATCTATACTACAATTAAATTTCCATTCGCTGTTATACGTTAAAATGCTAAATCCATTCTAGTGTAGAATTATAAATGAGCATTGTTATTCCATTGAAAAATTAGGATAAATCAGCTTTTTAACATTTACATATTTTCAAAATTTATATTGTTGATTGGAACCTCTGAGCTATTGACATAATCATGACCAACTCAATAATCTACCAATGATATTGTATAAGAATAACTGTATTTTATAAATCAAATAAAGCTAGAATATCATGGAAACCTGGAATCACTAGACAGCCGTTTCGTCCTATTGAGGGACTCCTCAACAGTGTGCATCCATTATCCCGCTTTGCAAGATTCAAACTCAGGACCTACCAGTCTCGCGCGCGACCACATAACCACTACACCAATGAGCCGGTCAGCATCCAACGATGTTAATGTCTGCATTTAAATCTCACGAGGCGGGATCGTGGATGCGCATTGTTAAGGAGTCCCACAATAGGACAAAATGGCCATCCAGTGCCTCCAAGTTTTCCATGATGGTCTAGCTTCAATTAATTCATGATCTCACCAATAATAAACTATTGAATATTGAATCAATAGTTTGATTTGTTTATCATTCCTAAAAAGTATCATTCCAAAATGTGATAATCAATGTTATTTTATGAAAAGAACATTTAATAGAATACTTTTCATTAATAATGTTTGATTTCAATGTAGACTGAATTGACGGTATATTCAATAAACAGGAAATGATGGTATATCATATGGTGAATTAGTTAGGCCTTTTTGCCATCATATTATTAACAAAATAATGTTACATAGTTTATGTATTGCCTTTTTTTATTTAAGTATATTTTTAAAATTGATTAGTTCGTTCCTTAGTGTGGTTGTGGATGCATCATACTTTAGGATTCCTATACTAGAACAAAACAATTGACTAATGTTTCCCTATTTTCAGTTGTTAGCAAAATAAAGTCAGTTCCAGTATTTAATCGAGTTGAAATAGCTATAAATAGATCCAGCATTAGAAGGTTACAATCTAGTTTAAAAGTTAATAAAAAATTGGGAGATAGAAATAATTTATTATGTAAATTTGAAAAAGGAAAATCCAAGACCATTAAAATTATTCAAATCATTTATACTCTGGCCTAGGAGTTGAAAGAAGAATTATGACGCCTTAGGATGATAGCTGAGATTTTTTGGAAGTCATGAGGCCGATGCACATTTTAACAATCAGAGTGACAATTTTTATTGGTACATGAAACGTCCGGAAAATGTGGGAGACTGTGAAGACTAGTCAAATAGCAACGGAAATGAGGAGATTCAAATTGGCAGTATTTGGAAACAGCGAAATCAATTACACCTAAGCTGGACAGCAAAGGCTAGATATGGGAGAGATGTTTCTGTACTTCAGTCACCAGGAGGAAATCGCTCCACATGCACAGGGAATTGCTCTAATGCTGTCCAGAGAAGCACGAAATGCATTCGTAGGATCCAGATTCATCAAAGCATCATACAAAACAAAGAAGGAAGGGATCACAATGAATGTTATCCAATGTTATTCACCCACCAATGATAGCAACGACGACGATAAAGATCAGATCTACTCGAGGCTGCGATCAATTATAGCGAAGTGATCATGAAAGGATTTGAACATCTTGATGGGAGGTCTAAACGCTTAAGTCGGAGTAGACACAGGATATGAAGATAGAATTAGACGGCATGTACTGGGAGAGAGAAATGAGAATGGTGAGAGATTTATAAATCTATGTGCATCCAACAAATTGGTTATAGGTGGTACAATATTCCTCCACGAACGCTACACGGATCTCACCGGACTACATCACAGTGAACCAGATAGACCGTATTTGACTCACTAAAATATTCACAAGGACAATGAAAGATGTGAGAACTGGGAGAGGAACTGACATAGTTCAGATCACTACTTGATGGTTGCCAAGATGTAACTGAAGCTAAAGAAGCATTGGACAACTAGACAAACATCATTACAAAGATTCAATATAGCATTTCTTCGAGATACTAACAAACTCAACGAATTCAAGGTTGAATAAAAGCTCTAAAGAACTGGAAAGGATTGCTCAGGACAGGGTCGGATGGAGAATACTGTTGGGCGGTCTATGCTCCTCCAGCAGGGTAAACAGGCATAAGTAAATAACTAAAAGCATTAAATACTCCATATAAAAGCAATTCATTAACTGTGAACATATTTCTTCCACCAAATATTTTAAAATCATTTAAATGAGTAAATAAGTGGGATAGAATATGGATTTCAAATCATGTTTAATAGAATTTTCATTAATTCCATAAAATTCTGTCTTTATTTAATGTTATAGTCAGAGTGGAGGTTTCTTGTTTTTACGGAGATCGCGAACCAATCTACGTTATACAGTCATTGAAAACCAGAAATCATTAATATTTGTTTCTTTCTTTTAAAGGACTACTCGGTAGCAGTACATATCCATAACCCTGTCACTAGGGATGAAACCTAGTATTTTCAGTTTCACTAATAAACATTTAACCTCGTTGTCTAACATAAATCATTTAAGTACCTCGATAATATAATAATATGATGAATTTTACGAAATAACAATTTTGTTAGTATTGAAAGAAAAAAAATTATCATAAGCTAAATAACGAATAAAATATTTACTAACCATCTTTAGAATATACCAATTCATATGTGACTACTTAACATATGTCATTGAGTAGTATAGTTTAAAATTTCAACAAAAAATCTTTTACTAAATACATTTCATTTCCGGACGATACACGACTAAGATTTAGTGCAATCTAATCAGTTGAACTAACCATATATCAAAACTTATGAATGTTCAAGATTCAATAGACATATATATATATATATATATATATATATATATATATATGTTATATCCCGTGGAGAATTATGAATGGTAACTTCTGAGGACTATTTATGGAACGATGTAATATGTATATTTCCTATTGTACAATAGTTAAGTAACTAAACTATTCGTATTCGTGTTCCTATTGTCATAAGCTTTATTTTGACCTATAGATTATTATTATACTAGTTACCATTCTTGAGGTATCCCTAGTTCATTAATTACTGATCCCCCTATTCACACTGTCTTTTAGCCAAATCTTGTATAAATATTACTTTCTATTTAATGGTACAATGTAGTCTGTTTGGTTTGTATATGAACCTTGAATGTTTGAGAATAAAGATTCATATTGCAGAGGCCTAGATTGATATTCTAAACTTAACTGACTGGCCTAAGCAGAAAGCAGGATTGACAAACGCTCTAGATTGCTTATACGGCTTTTTGTGTATCATTAAATACGATCAATAAATTTACTCCTCTCTGATTGGCGAGATTCAGGACCTCCGTATATATATATATATATATATATATATATATATATATATATTTAATATTTTTATTTTTAATTATAGAAGGGGTTTTGTGGAGATTCAGTGTTTACTATAGTTGAAAGCGTGAGTCAATTGACTAGCTTCAATTGACTCACGCTTTCAACTTTTATTTTTACCATTATTTAAGTGATGTATTTTTCTTTTTCTTATTTTATTTTACTAAAAATAAGGTTCCCAAGATAAACAATCATTTCATGATATAGAATTGATATTTTATGTTGATTTATCTAATTCTACAACATGTAATAAAATTAAATCAGTAGTATATTCATGTATTGCAAATATTTTAACAGATACAATAATTTTAGAAAATTTATCAAATTTTACAAATAATAATATACCATTAATACAAGATTCATTATTTTCCCATTATTGTAAAGATTGTTTATATTGTATATTGAACAAAGAAAATTTACAAAATTTAAATCATTATCAAAATATAAATAATAAAAAACAATCATTAGAAATCAATAATCAATCAATAAATGATCATCAATTGATTAAAACTAAATTATCACAAATCAATAAACATTGTCATTTAATCAATAATGAACAAAAAATAAAATATAATAATAATAATAATAATAATAATAATTGTAAATTATGTCATTTATCATTACGCAATTTATATCCATTATATAATTATAATTCATTATTACCAAGTTCAATATGCTCAAAATCATTGAATTATTCCAATCAAATCAATAATAATAATAATAGTAATAATAATAATAATAATTCAATAATTAATTATTATTATAATGATATAATAATTAAACAATATATACAAAAAATTATACATATATATAAACCAACATGTAAAACATTTGATTCATGGTTTTCAATATTTATTGGTTATAATAATAATAATAATAATAATAATAATGAAAAAATCAATAAAAAAATTATTGAATTAAAATTTATTGATCGTATGCATCGTCAATATAAATTTACAATTGATAGTTTACATATTATATTAGATAGTTTATTAAAATTTTATGATATAACAAATCAATATATTAAAAAAAAATTAAATAAAAATTATTATCCAATTGTTGTTGTCAAATCAATTGCATGTAATTATATAGATGTAATAAAACATATATTAAATCATATTATTGTAATATATAAACCAGAAGAAATATATGGGGGTGGTTTATTAAAATATTGTAAATTATTAGTTAATGGTTATAAACCATGTCAAATGATTGATATAATATTAATGGAAAAATATATGTGTTCACGATTTTTTATTGATTTTCCTAATATTATAAATCAATATCATCAATTAAATTATTATTTATTAAATTATTTTGATAATAATTATAAAATGAAAATTAATTATTTAAATGTAAGTTTTTTTGATTTTTGAATTTTTTTTATTTTTAAAAAATATTAATTTTTTTATTGATTATTGATTATTTAAATTTTTTAAAAAAAACGTTTTTTCAAAAAAATCGATTATTGATAAAAAAATATTTACTAAAAATTGAATATATTTGGTATATTCATTTTGTTTCTAGGTTGGAGCTGATTTTTTTAAAAAAACAAAAAAAATAAAAAAAACAAGTACAAATAACTGATAACTCATTTTTTTTTAAAAAAATAAGAAAACAGCAACATGTTAGTATAACTGTAGTTAGGATGTTTTTTTGTTTAGGGATTAGTGATAAGTATATTTTTAGAAAAGGTTTTGTGGATATTATAGTAATTTATTAGTTAAGATCATGAGACAATTAAAGCTAGACCATCATGGAAAACCTGGAAGCATTAAATGGCCGTTTCCTTTTGTTGTGGTATTCCTCATGAAGCCTCCATGAAGTATTTCCTGGAGTTCTAGTGAGAAGCAATGGCCAGTGGAGTTCAACCAGATGTGTTTTAAGATGACAATTCATTGAAGACACTCGTGAATGTGTCGCTCAATTTCGTGGATTGGTTGAAGTTAGACATTAACACTAAATGAACTTAAACTTCATCCCATTTCACCAGTAATTAGCTATCAGGACATAGTAGATAGGTGGATAACACGATGACATTTGAAGCGAACGGTAATGAGTTTGAGTCCCAGAGTTAACATATACTGTGAGATGCAGGTACATACAGCTGACAAGTACCAAATAAGACGAAACGTGAGGCCTGGATTCCATTATAAACCTTGGTGTAAATATAATTCTAATTCATAAATATCATTCATATTTTAAGAATTTCTTTTGACGTAAATAAAAACAGACACTATGTATTAACCAAAACAAGAAATCTTTTATGTAATAAACCGTCTAAGTATGATATGAATGATATTTGAATAATGAAATGTAGTATATATTGCAATGTATTCATAACAGATGACTTAGTAACGACATCAAATCTAATGAACGTGAACATAAGTGGGAATAATCAAAAGTTTCTTTTTATACAAAATTACAGAACATGTTCGGGAAATCTGAGAATCACACAGTAAATAATTTATTTTGCAAAATGTTAATCAATTGTCTCAGACTTCATTGTTCTTTCGTTTCTACACTAATCATTCTTTGTTCTGGTTCCATTTTTTTCTGTAATCTTCTTAACTTTCTGCCTCTAAGAGTTTCACTTTCAATTGATGAGATATACTATTTATATTTGTTGACATTAGTAGTACATACCACAACTTTATGTAGGCTAAACAAAATATTATTCTCAATTGATTGATCACTGGGTGGTGATCATTGTCTTGCGTGTCAAGTCCTTCTTAGTGCTGATCGAATGCTGTCGATCAGGTTACAATATGGCCACTAGTCTAGGTGGCTTAACACTGCGTGCACTATGTTGAGATAAGGTCGTGGTTGGAGGTGGTCAACAGGAAACCTGTACCCTGGTTTCGTGCTACTTGCCACTCGTCAGCAAGGTGTACCTGTAATCTTGAAGGAACTGGTGCTCATTTGCGTATTCGATCCCGTGTCACTCAGCTTCACAGTCAGGTACACCTTGCTGACAATAGCACAAAACCCGGGTCCAGGGTTTCCTGTTGACCACCTCTAACTACGATCTTAAAATATTATTCTACATAGTATAAAAAACTATTAGAGTTATATATCACTGACAATACCTAGTTCAATGTTTAGTTGTTTAATTGATGATTCATATATTGAACAATCTAAATTAGTAGAAATCTGTGCCAAAATAGTCAGTGTTAAAAGATAACATAATGAACAACTGTCTATTGTCATTATATAGACGCAAGAATTATTAGTAAAAAATAATCGTACCGAAATAAACTTCTGAAGTTAAGGAAAAAATAAATTTAATCTGTTTTTTCAGTATACACTTAAATCGCGCGCCAATTTTTATTTTTCCAAAAATGATTATTATTAAAGTAGTGGAGTACAAATGTTTCTTGCTTAATGTCCTAGTTTTTGTGAATGTTATATAAGAAGTGGGTTGAATGGAATGTAAAAGTCTTCAATTATTGAATATAAACAGTATTAATGTCAAGTCTCTATTACGTAATCGTAAGAAATTCATTGGTTAATGGTTGAAGATGAATAGATTACTAATCCAGACGGAATAATGTATTAGGCATTAACTAAACAATTAACATTTATCAGAAGAGGGTTTTGTGGAGATTTTGGTAATTTTATATAGTTTAAATTATGAGCCATTTGAATCTAGACAACCATGGAAAATCTAGAAGCAATGGACGGCCGTTTTGCCCTACTGTGGGACTCCTCACCAATCCTCATCTACGATCCCGCGATCCCGAGATTCGGTTATGTGCTCGTGCGGGGCTGGTAGGTCCTGGGTTTGATTCTCGTGAAACAGGATCGTGGATGCTCACTGGTGAGGAGTCCCACAATAGAACGATACGACTGTCTAGTGCTTCAAGGTATTCCATGGTGGTCCAGCTGCAAATGACTCATGATTTTAACTACATAAAATTGCTAAGATCTCCACAAAACCCCATTCTGATAATTCTCACAATGTTGATACATTCAAAAGTTAACATCATTGTTATCAATGTGTTACTCGCCTTGTCTGTTTCTTAGAGAAGAATAAAACGCACATACTTTGTGACCAATATGTGTATCATATTCGAAACATATGTCACAGTGGGATAACTAATCAACAACAAAATAACATTGTGCTAATGTGAGATGAGTGTTTTTTCTTTATGAATAAATATACTATACAACAGCAGGTACATCCAGCTGACGAGTCCCAAATAGGACGAAACGCGCGTCCTGGATTCCACATTGCTAGCCACTATCCATTTTTATTTACTAATAATATATATTTCTCATATCATCTATCATATTGACATAAACTTGTTGAATTTCCTCATTTTAAGACAAAACTAAAATTAGTTTTATATTATTGAGATCATCAGTCAATCTCTACAATACCACCACCACCCCCTTCTGATAAAATAATTTTATAAATTATATAAAATAATGAAAATATTTATTGTTTCCCTTAATTGTATTTATAACCATTACGACAATTATTTCGATTGTGTGTATGTGTGTGTACTTGGTGTATTTGTTTTTATTATTATTATTAGTATCTGTGTATGTGGATGGATTTGTAGTAGCTCAGTAAATTTTGAAAAAAAAGTATTGTTCAGAAAATGGAAACATTATAATTATTATATGCCAAATTATGATATTTCTGTAAATGTACTTGTCGTAAATGGATACATATTTTAAACAATTATTTAGTAGCATAAGGAAAGATGAATAGTGGATAGCAGTGGAATTCAAGAGGAGCATTTCGTCCAGTTTTGGACTAGTCAGCTGGATGGAATTGCATTTCAGAGTTGATATTCATTCTGGGACTCGAACCCAGTACCGTTCGCTTTAAATGCCATTACGTTATCTATTTATCTACTGAATCCTGATAGCCACTTGCTTGTGCAATGGGGTGAAGTTTAAATTCACTTAGTATTGTTTGTTTGAATCTTCTCATTGATGCTTTAGGACTGCAATTGGTTAGTTACTTATTAGCATATGTTCATACTGTGCTTATTGTCTTGATATTGCCTTAATTCATAAGTATTATAAGCAAATATGGATTCCACTGCTAGCCACTATCCATCTTCGCTTATAATGCTTATGAATTAAGGCAATATCAAGACAATATGCACAGTATGCACATATACCATTTAAGTGACTGACCAGTTGCAGTCCTAAAGCATCAATGGGAAGATTCAAACAAACAATATTATGTGAATTTATACCTAAACTGTTTTGACGTCTTTATATCATTCCCTAATTGTAACTTAATTTCATCACCTTCCTCTTTTAGAGTTCTAGGAATGTGTAATCTTTCCATTGATTACTTCCATAATCACTATTAATTAAAAGTAGTATTCCAGTCATTCATATAAATATTCTTCTAAACAGATATGATGTATACATAAAATTAAGGTTAAACCAATAGTTTTATTAATCACTAACTGGTTTTCCCCTAGTGATGAGGACAAAAATTCTTTTTTTCTCTTTTCTTTCTGAACAAACATTCATATCTCTATTCCTAACATATATATATATATATACCATTTATTGATTATTATTATATTACATGTGTTTTTATCCCCATTTATACCATGATAGGGTAAACATAAACTCAGATACAAAAACAATAAGTACATGGAGATATAATGAATAAAAGTCAATATTGTCTTTATTAATTGATTTTGATTGGTTCAATTTATTTGATTTTTTATTTTCATTCATTGAAGGTAAATAATTTGAGTTTGTTTTAATAAAATGAATGTGTGAGTGAATGAATTAAATAAATCTAATTTATAATAATTAAAATCATGAGTTGATTAAAGTTAGACTACTATGGAAAACCCGGAAATACTGGACGGCTGTTTAGTCTTAGTATGCGACTCCTCATCGGTGTTCATCCAGGAATTCAAACTCAGGATTTGTCGGTCTCAAACGTGAACGCTTAATCACTAGACCACTAATCCGGCATCCAATGATGTTAATGTCTAACTTCAACCAATTCACGAAATTGCACAACCATCTTCCATCGTACTAAAGTAGATTTTTGTACCTGTGATGGATTAGCCCCACTGATCACGGCTTATCACGAGAAATCCGGAATTCCCTAGTGAAGCTATTCACTAATGAACGGGATCGTTGATACACACTGCTGAGGAGTCTCACCATAGGACGATATAGCCGTCCAGTGTTTCCAGGTTTTCAATAGTGGTCTAACATTCATTAATTCATGATCTCAATCAAAAAAGAAATGTTCATTCTTGTAAAAATCAATAAATAATAACATATTCAACATTTTAAGTGACAGGTACTAAGTTCGAATACCAATATCAAGAGAAACACTGGAATGGATCAGATTCATTCA